TTAACTAATTAATAGGATCTAAGAAAACAATTTCCTTTTCGTTTATTAACGTTTCCAAGCAAAATTACATAAAAACAATAATAAAATTCTTATCAATAATAATATTATCTAAAAAATTATTGGAAATAACAAAAATTATTTTTATAGTAATTTTACCAGAACAAAAACGCCTCCAGATAACATAGGCCCCCAACAAAAATTCGCTATATCAAAAAAACTTTAAAAATTTATAACAAATTATTCAACTAAAATTTAAACATAAAAGCAATATAAACCATAAACATAAAATTTAACGGTTATACATGTAGCTTTATCATTTTGTAAGTTTTTTTTTTTTATTGTATAACCATTATAAGATAACAGTGTTTCTTGTTTTAAAGTCAAGCCCTTTAATCAATAACTAGTATTTTGTTAAAAAAAAAATATTTTGTTAAACTTAAAAACGTTTAAGTTTAAGTGGTTACAGGTTCACTGTCAAGGTTAAATGATTTTTTGAAGAAGAAACACAACAACAAAATCATATCAAGTCAATTACTAGGTTTCAATATAACAAAATATTTTTTTTTTAAATTCAAACTCAGTCATCTTAATATATTATTCAGTTAAAAATCTAAACTGGTTATTTTTAATAATATACAGTACCCTACTGCACATTATGGTATCTTGCATTACAGGTTTGCTTTACATATAAATAAACCGTTATACACCCGCTAACAACTTGAAAATAACGAACTTTTTAGCATAATCACGTTGTATAAGTGATCACGTGCAATACTTTTAGAAAACTGGTCAAATTAGAAAATATATAAAAAGTTATCGTAGTATTACAACTAAATATTTCTTGTAATTAATACTGGTTTTTACTCGAAATCACTGCTTAGTTTACTTTGACTTCTTGTATTGTAGTATATTTGCAATAGTAGCAAATAAGCTAAAATGTTTTCCTACAAATATTGAATATATTTTTTACATAGTTTATTTTATATTTAATTTTCTTTTAAATGAACTCAGGATATAGTTTTTCTAATTCTAAAAAACAGCTGGCTTCTTACTAGACTTACAATATTTCCAATGTCTGCAAGACTTCTTTGCTACTAAATTCCTATCTTATATGTAATTTAACAGTTTTCATTTGTATTTTACAATTTTTTAAACTTAATTCAAAACTTCTAAGAATAATATTAAGTAAACCTTCAATTTGTCAAATGTTACGCCTATAATTTTACTAAAATATGCGGAATAGTAAATAGTACAAAGTGCTACTAATAATTATATGGAAATAAACATTTATATTTTTCTTATTAAGCTTTTTTTTTTGCAATTCAATTCATTTTAAAAGAAAAATTAACATTCATACTACAAGAATTTAATATTTTTATAATCATTTTGGCTAATCTTATCATATGTAGATATTTGCCATATTTTAAACAAGTTAACTACAATTAACTTTTTTTTAGATAATTATTATTAAACAGTTTTTACCGATAGCTAAACACCTGCAAATACATAATTTTGAAAACTTAAAATCCAAATGTTCATGCCTAAAACAAAATTAAACGTATTTGACTAGACCGAATATTTGTTCTCAGGTTATTTTGGTGCAAAAACCTTCCCCGGCAAATCGATTTTTTAAAACCATTCACAAACAAAATTTCATGAAACGCCGCCCCTATCTTTGAGTTTTTTCCGTATAGATGTCGTGGTAAAACATTGACACTAGTTTATATCAAAAATTTCTAGTTTGGTATTAAAAATTTTAAATTTTGTTTAGAGTAAATATCGAAAATTTCCAAGCATTTGCCGCGGAACTTTTTTAACGCTCGGGAAAAAGTAATATACTTTTTCGACGTATATTTTTAAGCTCTATGTGGAATGGATAGGGCCGATTTAGTACATAAAAAGTAAAATTTTTTAAATCTGTCATCTTCAATTTGAATTTTATAGATTAGTGATCATTTGAATTTAAGTGTTGCAGATGGACCTCGCGGACCCCAGAGATGCAGCTCTGTAGATGGTCAAAATAAGACACCATTTGGAATTTTCTGCTTTTAACAAAGTTATACAATGAAAGTTTTGGGAAACTTGTATGACAGATATTTTGCAAGACAAACTAATTGAAAAATTCAATTGTATCCCTATATTCCGAATTTAACCAATTTATATAAAAAATTTTATTTACCATTGGTATATGTATATATGTAAGTAAGAAAATTCAGTCGAACACATTCTGTCTATATGATAAACTAATTCTTTATCATATAAACATCCTTTGAGGCCAAGAATGAATCAAACCAATATCGGATATTTTGTTTTAAAGAGTAACGTATACCAGTAAAAAGGTTCTACATCGATCGAAACAAATAGTAGGAAGATGTCTGGAATAAAAAGCGACAGAGGCAAAACTTGCCAATCATTTCTTTCTTAAATAGCTTTAACAGGCATTGCAACATATCAAGCGTTCATATCTGGCCACTTATTTCAAATTAATCAGTTGCATTCGGTATGGTGCCTTGTGATGGTCTCACCAGATTTCAGCAGCTCATAATATATACATATATAGGATACTTTTTGTCCCATCAAATAGATAGTATTACCTTAGAGCCATGAATATCTAGCTTTGATATCGTTTTAGCTGTCTAATAGGCCCATGCTGATTTTTGTCTTCCATGTCAAATTCACCACTTCTGAACCGCAAAAACTAATGGAACAATCGCCATAAGCTGCGGTGTGCTTAAGCGGAACTTTTTATACCCTATACCACTATAGTAGGCATGGTATTAAGTGTTAGTGCTGACCATTGTATCATATCATATATCTCACCATGTCTATCTGTCCTTCGTCCTTCCGTCTACCCTTCGTTCGTCCAAGTAAACCTTGTAATAAAAGTACAAGTTGAATTACTTTGATGAATATTGCTTTGAAGATCATAATTATATTAAATATTTATGTAAGTATGTATCTTTACCAAAATTTGCCTCAGCAAGGTTTTATACTGTCGATTTTTGTAATAATGGGTCCAAAATTGACCACAGATCCCAAACTACAATGTATGTGTCCAAAGCCATACATATAAATATGTTAGTAAAGACAAAAACCACTTTAAAAAAATAACACATTTACATATATAGGATTAAAATGCGCTTAAACGAAATCTGACCTCAGAATTTCTTCATTACATCGGGAATTCGAGATATAGTGTCCTAAAGTTAAAAGAAACGTCCCTTTTTGAGACGTTGTATGTCATATGAAAATCTATGTATTCTGTCAGCTTTATAATAAAAACTCAACATCTGACAAATCTTCTGTCTTCTAAATTCTTTAGAAAAGTATAACTTGGTCTCAGGGTTTCGACTTTTTTTCAAATTTTGTTGTGAATCTATTTTAAATTCCGCATTATGATGTTATATACCCAATATCTACAAAATGAAGACGTGCAATTTAAATACCACTATAGTGGTATATGAAATTTTGAATCAGCCTAATGTTCATTTCAACTGTCTTTATACAAACATTTTACAATTAAATATAAATATTTTCAGAAGTACATTAATAAAATTATTTTAATTGCAATTATACCACTTATTTAATCATTTATTTTAAAAAGGAGCAAAGTTCAAAACATTTTCTATATATAAGAGAAATAAGGTAATTATAATTTTATTTAATTAAGACAGGTAAAACATAACAACAATTAAAAGCGGATATTATAAAAATATACAATTGTACTTTTTAGATAAATTAGTTGCTACACTCTTACTTTTACAGCTCTTAAAATGTATCTCTCTCTCTCGCTTTTCAACTGTACTCAATTACACTTTCTTACTCAGCTTGGTATTCTATTAATACTCAATACTTAAATCGATTCATATAAGAATTGATTAAATAAACACAAAGAAATTCAAATAAAAGTGTTGCCATATTTTAGTAAAATTTATAAAAACAAAAAGATATTGACACTAATGAGAGAGTTAGAGTGAGAGAGAATTATTAGACTATGAAAAAGAGAATATGTATTAGGTATAAAGAAAGCCCCTGGAAATTACTCTACAAAATTTTTTCTCATTAATGTACTTGTGTCTTGATAATAATTGTATTATTTATACATATATGGATTCAAATAGTAACAGAATAACAACAACAACAACGAAGACACTAAGACCCAACACAAGTATTGAAACATTTGTTGGGTTCTAGTGACAGTAGTACGTACATATGACTTACGTACGATTTTAATAAAGTTGACTGACGACTGGTGTTAGTGGTGGTGGTGTTGGTATTGTTAGCGATGATGATGACGATGATTTTTATTAAGGTAGTGGTGGTGGTGGTGGTGATGTCGGTAGTGATGGAAGTAGCCACCACTCAGCCAAGTACCCATTTCAGTTGAATTTTTTTGTAATAGAAATTAGTTGTGATCGCACCGTGTGTGTGAGCGGTTGTATTTAAAAATTTGTTTCTATTAGTTTTCTTTTATTTTTTATTAATTCTTATATACCGTGCTACTTTGAGGAGGGTTGTTTATTGAAAAAAAGTGATGATTAAATAAAAAAAATTTGATATTTTTTCATTATAAAGAAAAATTTTTGTATACACTGCAAAGAAAACGCGCAGTTTACTAAATGTTTTTATAACAATAAATAATTGTAATAAAATTAATCTGTGATTATTTTTTCTTATAAAGAAACAAAGAAATTTACACATATTACAATAAAAAAAAAAACAAAACTAAAACTCAAACTGTGTTTGAAAACTTAATTACTGTGATTTTATTTTGAATGTTGTAAAAAGTTAATATAAACAAAATGGTTGAGAACGATAATAAAAATCTATTAAATGACAATAGACAGGTTAAGGCCCAGATAGTGCCTGTGCAAACCAAAACCCTACAACATTTGCCCAAACGACCAGCAGTGGATTTGGCTTTTCACAATTTAACCTACAGAGTTAAAGAGGGCAGCCGAAGCAGTAAGTATTTTTTTTTTTTAATTTTTACCTTTTAAACTGTAAGTTCCCAAAAAAGTATATTTTCACTCTTACCAAGTTTCTTTTTTTTACATTTGTTTTTAATTTTTTTTTCTTTGTTGTTTTCAAAGTTTTTTTGTTCATTGTATCGTGTTATCCATATGTTTTTCTTTTCTCTTTTCTTAATTATGTATTTTTTTCGTTCGTTCGTTCTTTATCAATGATCATATTTTTTTTTGTTCATCAGTGTAAATATTTTGTTGTTGTTTTTCTCTTTATCTCCTTATTCTTATTTGTGGGATTTTTTTTTCTCTAGTTGTATTCACATTCTTTGTTCTAACTAGAATGGCCAGTTTGTTTTTATTTGTTTAACAATATTGCCATATTTTTTCTCAATTTTTCGTAAACAAGCTAAAAAATAATTGAGAAAATAAATAACATTCGAATTTTTGCTAAAAACTTTCCGCTTTAGGTGTTTTCAACTTTAAAAAATTAAATTTTGTATACAAAATTATTTACCCTAAAAAAATTGCGTTTTAATTTTAAGAACCTTTTTTTTAATACTATTATTGTATATATATGCAAATTATATTTTAATTATTTGTTTTTTTTTCACGTATAATTAAGAATTTGTCATTAATTCTAGAATTTTCAAAAATAAAGTATATACAACAACTAAGAGTGTTATATTGGTCAGCAACGAATATTATATACCCACCATTAACGATTTTCATATAATTTGATTCAAAAAAGTTCTCTGCTGCCAGCTGGTTGTACCATATTTGACTACTTATAAATATACTTCCAGGGAAGTCATATTACCAGTAAATATTCATCTAGAATTTTAGCTTTAACAAGAGTGCTATATTCGACCGTGCCTCTTATATACCCACCATCAAATCATGTGTCACAAATTTCAATTTCAGATTGTAGACCTATACTATTCTAAACCGATTTATCCTATATAAATAACAATATAGTCAGGGTGATGGTAGTACTTATTTTATCTTATTTAATATTTATACCCTACACCACTTTAGTGGGGAGGGTATATTGGATTTGTGCTGATGTTTGTAACATACAACATACCATAAAGTATACCAATCGGCTTAGAATCGTTTTCTGAGTCGATTAAGCTATGTACGTCCGTCCGTCCGTCTGGCTGGCTGTCCATGTAAACCTTGTGCGCAAGGTACAGGTCGCAATTTTCAATATAATGAAATTTGGCACGCACGTTTTATTTGACCCAAGGACGAAGCCTATTGAAAATGGTTACAATCGGTCCATTATTTCACCTAGCCCCCATAGAACAGAACCCCCCGAAAAGGGCTTCTGAGCTCATAATTATGTTAAATATACAGATATATCGATAAAATACGGCACAACTAAGTTTTATAGAAGTCTTGATGACCCTGCAAAATTTCATAAAGATCGGGCCCCATTTGACCCTAGCTCCCATACAAAGTCCCCTTCAGAAAATTACTTGAATGTCCCAAATTAACTTATAAACACAAATATCGCGATGAAATTCAGCACAATAAAATATTATGTAAATAGAAATATATTCACAAAATGTTATCGGGCTTGGTCCATATTTGCCCCTAGCCCCCATATAAAGCCTCTTTCAGAAAATTAGTTTTTCATCCATAAATTGCTTAAATGTATCGGAACAAGGGAATATTGAAGATAAATGCTTTATTATGAAAAATAAATCACATTTAATATTCATAACTGGTGTAGCGTATCATATGGTCGGCCACGCCCGACTATACTTTCTTACTTGTTATATACATAATTTAATTCAAAAATGTTTACTGTTTACTATTCGGCCGTGCCGAATCTTATATACCCACCATCAAATCATGTGTCATAAATTTCAATTAAATTTCAGAATGTAGACCTATACTATATAAATAGATACTTTTGCTATCATCATTTAATCATTTATTAGATTTATTCTAAATAGCAATATAATCAGGGTGATGGTTGTACATATTTTATCATATTTAATATTTTTTTAATGATTTATACAGTAATGTATATTAATTTACTGTAAATTTACTTATGGTCAATTTTAGACCGATCTTCCTAAGATTTAGATTTCAATAAAACTTGTTATGTCAAATACCAATGCTTTCTAAGCCTTATATAAAGGCTTTGATCCAATATAGCCCGATGCTCATAATATTTGACAGAAAGATTTTAGATTCTATAAAATTAGTTAATGACAAATTCTATCGCTATACTGGTATTTTTAAGCCAGTTATGTCCGTTAATGTGATTCTATGAGAAGGACCCTTTATAGGAGATAGGATCAATTATGGACCGATCCCAAAAAAAAGTTTGACAGTTAGAATTATGTTCGTATAAAACTTGTTTATGAACTATTTTGAAAATAATTAATGAGCGTTATATTAATTTTATAAAGGGACCATATAAGGGGGTGGGATCAATCGTGATACTAATAAAATTTTACATACATAGAGATTTTAGTTTCTCTAAAATATGTTTATGTCGAATTTCGTTGCTTTCCGTTAATGTTGAAGCAAGTTATAGTTATAACAGATAAAGTCATTTTATGAGGAGGACTTTATATGGGGAGTAGAATTAATTAAGAATGCGTCGAATTTGGTTTTATTACTCTCATTTTGAAGCAAGTTATAATCGTTATAGTCATTTTCTGAAGAGGACCTTATATAAGGTAGGGTAGGGTCAATTATGGACCGATCAAAATAAAATTTGGTAGAGATATTTTGATTCCTCTAAAACTTATATGGGGGTAGAGTCAATTATGGGCCGATCTCCATAAAATACGGCAGAGAGATTTTTGTACCCATAAAACTTGTTTTTGTCACATATCGTTGCTTTGCTATCAATTTGAAGCAAGTTATGAGCGTTAAAGTCGTTTTCAGAGAGGGACCTTATATGGGGGGTAGGGTCAATTATGGGCCAATCCTTATAAAATCTGGTAGGGAAGTTATGGGTCATATTCAACTTGTTTTGTGTGTGTAAAATTTCAGTGTCATACTGATGTATTTAAACCAGCTATGGCTGTTTACATTGTTTTTCGGAGGGCCACTTATATGGGGGCTATGCGAAGACATGGACCGATATGGCCCATTTTCAATACCAAACAGTGCTTATAAATGAAGAAGTTTAGGCCCTATCGTGCCTACAACAGACGGACGGACATGGATCGACTTAGAATTTCATAAAGTCCCAGAATATATACACTTTTTTGGGCCTATGATCAATATTTCGATATGTTAAAAATGGAAGGACAAAAACAATATACCCCCATCTTTTTTGATGGCGGCTATAAAAACTCCCTTGATTTGACGATGGATGAATAGACATTTTGCTTTTTCATCTCTTCTTTTTCCCAAGCAAAATGCATATCAAATGAAAGGATTTTCGTATACCTTTCTCTTGATATACACACTGCCCATATATAACTATACATAACGAACATACATAGCATCCGAAATATACACATGTATATTAACAAAATATTCATACATATTAGCTATTAATGGACCGATTTAAAATAGGAAATTTCTCGAAAGCATGCCTGATAGAATTATATCAGATTTGGATTCCGAAGATATCGGGGACCTTCAGAAATTTATTTTCAAAAAGGACAGACAGACAGATTGATAGACGGACATATCTAAATCGACTTCGAATACGAAAGATACGTTTATGTCACTTCAGATATAGATTTCAGCTTAAAATCTCTCTCTCTCTCTCTGTCTCTCTGATTCGATTTAATGATTTCTGTCCGTCCAGAAAAGATTAATGCACTTTTCAAGAATTTGTCTCCCTCTGTAATGACTCAATACAAATAATTTTATTTGTAATTTAAATCAGGACCCATATTACTATACATAAACACATTGCGATATCGAAATTATGCTAAAACGAACAAGAATTCTTGTTCGATTTTGAATGCCATCATCCCAATAAGGAAAATTAAGAACAATTTTTACTCGATCTCGTAAACGGTAATTCGATGCCAGATATGTTCACATAACTTTTTATTGAGCACTTAAAAATAACTACCAACAGTATAATTCTCATTTAGTTTACACCATTTTTGCAATAAAACATTTTGTCTAAACAGATTGTATAACATTGATCAGCAGTGATCTTTCCACAAAAAATAAAAGATCAACATTAACATAATGTTATCCTAATCTACCTAAAACTAATATATTTAAAGAATTCAATAGATAATTATCATTAAAAAATTAAATTCATTATTTGTTTGTTTAGTGTCCATATGTAAACAACATTGTCGATGATCATATGTTAAACACCAGGTAACTGACATCTTGCAAAGATTAGTTAACAAAGTCAATCAATATCAATATGATAAAGGGATCGTTTTTATCTTATGTATGTATATTTAATCACAGTTTTGTTTTAAAATAATTTTTAAAACTTTATAATATTCCCGTTTTCTCAATCAGTGATTAACTCCGTTTCTATTTCAAAATATTAATCAGTTCTCTCAAATCTCAAGTTTCTCTATATATTTTTTTTAAATATTAATAAATTATATAGCAATTAGTATCAAACATTCAGGAAATAGTTTTATTCATAATTTGATGAGTTAATTTAACAGCAATTTACGTCAAATAACAACAATTTTCTTATTGTTAATTATTAACTTTTAATAACCCTTAGTTATTATTATTTTTTTTATTACTATTTAAGGTGTTTGTATATGTATGTGTATGCGTTCGTTTGCCTTTCACTATATATATATAATCTCTTTCCAAATCAAAGTCCAAAAGTCAATGGGGTTTTTTTTGTGTATTATTTTGTAGTTTGTTCTAAAAAAAATCAAGTTATTTTTCGCTGTACTCGTTTTACTCATTGTTTTTAATTGTTTAAGTAAATACTAATAATTTATTTAAATGCAATTCATTAAAGTTCATATACATTAAGAGAGATTTTGCAAAATAAAGATTGTTTGTCAAATTTATTAAATAAATGTT